TGAGTAGTGACCTTCTAAATAGCAACTAACCAATTCAACTAAGCAATGAAAGTTCATAAGTTGTTTTCTCAACTCTCCACTCACTCACAAAATATGTGTGAGTATAAAAAAAAAAAAAAAACAAACAAACAAACAAACCAATGCGCTTAAACTTGATAATTCTCTTGGCTATACATATTGAACATCCATTTAACCACAAAGCTTAACATTGTGTGTGCAAAAGTTTTTAGAAGTTACTCTTTAATAATCAAGATAGAGAAAGTGACTTAAACCAAGTAATTTTGAAATTATACCTAGGTAGAAATGCAAAAATAATCATACTTTGCAAACCCTTCACACAAGAATTACCAAAGTAAAAGGAATAATCAAGTGTTGGTCTTCCTTTTCCTTTCTTTTTTTGTCCTTTTTTTTTTTTAAGAGAATATATATAAAAAGTGTGCCTAAAATGTGCATGCAATGCAACCACCTCTAACCTAAATAAGATAGTGTTATTGGCATAGAATAAAAGAAATAAAGGCAAACCTATAAAAGTAATAGCTAAGGAAAGAAACCTAGAAAACTAATAAATGAAACACTACTAAAAGAAAAGCAAAAAAAGAATAAAATGATACAATGGATAGATAAAACCTGATTAAGCATTGTAGATGAAAGCCACAAAAATGATCTCCTCAGGTTAGTCTACCCACTCCACATAATGTTTCAACCATTGTCCAATAATTTGGAGGACCCTCTCAAGAATGCACACTTCAATCCTTCAAAAAGTGGGGATAACTCTACACTTGGCATCTCCATTAAAAATGGTTTCAAATGTTTTCTATCGTATAGCAACTACTCAAAGTGTATCTGTGAAATTTTTTTGTGTTTTTCCTGCATAACATTAGAAAAAGAAGAAACATTAGAATGATCATTACCATGATAGTTCAAAAAGTCAGAATCTAAATCAGAGTCATCAAGGAGGTATTCTAAAGATTCAAAATTTTCCTTTTCATATACTTCCTCAACTAGTGAATCTATCATGTAGGTTTAATAACACTCATCATCATCATGTAGTTGCTTCCCAACATGAAAAATATTCACCTCAAGAGTCATATTCCTAAATGAAAGTTTTATTAAGCCATTCCTACAATTAATGAGAGCATTAGCAGTAGCAAGAAATGGTCTTCCTAAAATAAGTGGAATCTTTGATTCACTATTAACTTTAGATTGAGTATCTAAAACAAGAAAATCAACAAGATAATAAAATTTATCAATCCGAAGCAAAACATCTTTTGCTATCCCTCTTAAATGTTCAAAGTTCCAAATTTGATCCTTAGATACTCATCTTTCTAGTTCTTTGCATTCAAGTCCTTTTCTTCTAATTGTCTCCATTTGATTATTAAAGCTTCAATCATAAAAAGTTTGCGCAACATGAATAAAATGAACACTTATGACATTACTTGTAAAAAATACAACTCTTACACCCATAATTCTATAAAAGTCAATGGTTAAACACACTTTAAATATACATTTTCATGCTTTCATCAAGTGAGCAGGGGGAGCAATCCCTATCACAAGAGGAAGGACCTCAGTTAAGAAAGTCCACCAGAGAGCATAAACCATCTACAAGATACCCTAACTCTAATTATATCTTGATCACCAAACAGAGGGAGCTGGAGAGCTTTCATAAGGTATAGTCTCACAAAGATAAAGATTGCTAGATGAAAGCCATGCAAGAAGAAATCAATTTCTTGCATTAAGAACAACACTTATGAGCTTGTGGAACTTCCTAAAGGAAGAAAAACCCTAAAGAACAAGTGGGTGTTCAAGCTCCAGAAAGATGGTGACAATACAATTAGATATAAGGCTTGGATGGTGGTAAAAGGCTTCAGTCAGAAAAAGGGGATTGATTTTGAACAAATATTTTCCCCAATGATGAAGATAGCTTGATTCAAGTTGTGCTCAGTCTAACAACAAGCATGAATCTTGAGCTCGAGCAATTAGATGTGAAAACTACATTTCTCCATGGTGAATTACACGAGGACATTTATATGGATTAGCCAAAAGGTTTTGAAGAAGAAGGAAATGAGCATATGGTTTGCAAACTGAAAAAGGGTTTGTATGAACTAAAGCAAGCTCCAAGACACTAGTTTAAGAAGTTTGACTCTTTCATGACGAGTCATGGTTATAAAAGAACAAATGTAGATCCATGTATCTACACCAAATTATTTCCTGATGGCAATTTCATTACCCTTCTATTATATGTTGATGATATGCTAATTTTGGGACAATATGCCAAGAAGATTTGCAAGTTAAAAAAGGAGTTATCAAAGTCCTTTAACATGAAGGACTTGGGGCCAACAAAGCAAATTTTGGGTATGGCTATTACCCATGATCAAAAGGTTGGGCAGCTGTGGTTATCACAGGAAAAGAATGTTGAACAAATGCTTGAAAGGTTCAACATGAACATGCTAAGCTAGTTAGTAGCTTTCTTGCAAATCACTTCAAGCTAAGTAAACAATCTTGTCCAAGTACCCAAGAAGAAAAGGAGAAAATGTTATCTATTCCTTATTCTTTTACAGTCAATTCACTAATGTATGCAATGGTATATACTATTATACCTATGATTTTGATGATTACAAAACACATTTGAGTAACTAATTGATTTATTTAAGTGCGTAGTTAAATTTCCAATATACTGCAAAGTAAGTAAAATGAGATTGCATTAAAAAGGGCTTAAAGGGTAAAAATATGCAGAGAGCCGGCTTAAGAAAATTGCAGCCGATTCTGGGAAGCAAAAGTGCAGAAAGCCGGCTGCAGATTTTGTTGAGTTAGCTTTACAGACTAGAAATTCAACTGCTGTTTGGGCGTGCGTGAAAAATGGAAGCAAAGCCAGCTCCCACTTTGTAGTCGGCTATGAGGGCGCATTTAATGCACAACGGTCGACTTATTTGAAGAATATATAATGTATTTAAAGTCAGAGTTCAAAAGCCGGTTCAAAGTTTTGTAGTCGGCTCTTGAGAAAAACAAAATGGGCTGCAATCCCGTAAAGCCGGCTGTGGAAATGGTAAGCTGGCTCTCCTAACAATCTTGCAACTCGAGCTTTGCATCATGCAGGGCATTTAATGACCCCCAACGGCTATAAGTGGCTATTTTCGAGCAAGGGGTTATAAATGTGATTGGTAACAGATCTGAAGAAGTTTGGAGAACATTGCATTGAATATCTTTACCTACCTACTTGAGCTTTAACTTGAGTTTTTAATCTTTGAGTGATCATTGCTTGTAATTCTCTTCTTGTTCTATTAGTGTATGTTCTTGGGGGTGTGATTATTCCTTCAAAAGTGATCTATTGAGAGGATTTGTGGGGTTTACATTGTAAAGGGGTGAGGTTTAAAAGAAATGCTCATCTTCTTGTCAAAGGATTAAGTAGCTCCTTTAAGCCACCCTTGTGTTTCTTAGTGAAGAGTGTGGAGGAAATCCTTGGTGAGTGAAGCCAATGTAGAGAACTAGGCTCCAAGTGGTTGGACCGAACCTCTATAAATTCATTGTGCAAGCTCTTCTTCTCTACTCTCTTTAACTTTGGTTTTGTGGTTAAAAAAAGGGAGAATTTTTGGAACTCCAATTCACCCCCCTCTTGGAGTACATTGAGTCAACATATACACGACCATACATTACTCATGTTTGTGTTGTAAATAGATTCTTGTCTAGTACAGGCAAGATTCACTAGAAAGTTGTTAAGTGGAATTGCAAATATTTGAGAGGAACCACTGAGTTATGTTTGACTTTTTAGTAGACTGAACCAATTCTAAAAGGATACACATATACAAACATGTCAAGTGACCTTGATAGTAGAAAGCTATTTTAGGGTATTTATTCACTTTTGCAAGGGGCACTGTATCATGGTAATCAAAATTGTAGAAGTGTGTTGCCTTATCAATAATTGAAGCTAAATACACTATAGCTACAGAAGTTAATAAAGAGATGCTTTGGATGAAGGGATTCCTTCAAGAACGGGATTGAAGCAAAAAGAGTACATAGTATTTTGTGATAGCCAAAGTGCTTTAGATTTGAGCAAGAATGCTATGTACCATGCCCGAACAAAACACATAGATGTGAGATATCATTGGTTGCACTTAGTGACAGAGAACAGGCAGTTTTAACTTAGAAAGATTCACACAAACA